GGCCCCCTCAGCGCGGCCGCCATTTCCGCGGGACGGCGCCACCGCGCGGCCGCGGGCGGGAAGTGGCGGACGGGGAATAAATTTTCCCCGAAATCCCACAAAAACCTCCCCTGGCACAACCTGAGGCTGTTTCCCATTGTCCTGTCGGTTATTTTCTGGGAGCAAAGGCCGATCTGGCTGCATTTTCTGTCTGCGCAGAGCCACAAGGTTCCCCCTGAGCCTCCTTTTCTCCAGGCTGAGCCCCTTTCCCAGCTCCCTCAGCTGCTCCTGAGGCTCCACATCCTTTCCCAGCTCTGGAAAAGATGCTCCGCTGGACGTGGTGCTCACAAACAAGCCAGAACTGATGGAAAATTCAAAGATCGAGGGCTGCACTGACCATGGGGCAATGGAGCTGAAGACACAGGGAGCAGTGAGCAAAATAAATGGAATTATCCCAGACTTTGGAAGAGCAGAATTGGGGCTGGTTGGGGCAAATCCTGTGGGAAACAGCAAAGGAACCCAGGTTAGCTGGGTGATCCTTCAGCTTGAATTTCCCTGAGCACACAGCTCAGCCCAAAGTGCAGAAATCAAACAGCAGGAGGATGGAGTGGAGGAATACAGAGACCCTGACTAAGAAAAATGACAGGAGCAGACAACTTGGGAAAAACTTGAAGATTTAAAACATTACAAACTCCATTCCTACATCCATGGGCAATGTTCAGATGGATTTGGACTTCATGAAGGCAAGAAGGAAGATCCAGGGAGCCACAGGCTGGTCAACCTCACTTTGGTCTTTGGGAAGTCTGTGGAACAAATCCTTTGAGAAGCTATTTTTAAACACATCAAAGACATGAAGGTCGTGTGGAGAAGTGAACACTGAGTTGTCAAGAGCAATCTTTGGCTGATGAACCTCATTAATTTTTATAATGAGTTCACAGCTGCTGTGGGCAAGGGAAGACCAGTGAAGGTTGTGTACCTGGCCTGCTTTAGGGAAACCTCCCATTGTGGTTTTATCCCCAAATTTATGAGATGTGGTTGGATAATTTGCAGTAGAATGGGTGAAAAATGAGCAGGTTCAGAGTTGTGATCAGCAATAAAGTTTAACCAGCAGCTGGAGATTGTTGGTGTCCTTGTAGGAGCAACCCTGAGGACAACAGTCATGAGTGTCACCAAATAAAAACCAGGAAAATCCTGGGGTTTAAATGCTGATACTTTTCGTGTGGTCATCAGTGTCTTCCCACTTGTGGGTAAAATTAGATAACAATCTTTCATTGATTATTCGGATGATTAATAGATGGGGAATGTATGGAATAAAAATCCAATCTTTAGTGCAAAACGTGAACAGATATTCAGAGTTACCAAATGACTCCATTATCACCTGGGAACTAAAATCCTGTTTCTCCAGAAATATGTTTTAAAACAGCTTCACAGAAGCTGCAATTTGCTGATCTGGCCTAACAATAATGTTTTTTCTCTTTTCTTTCGAAGTACTACATTGAGGAGACAGTTATTGAGGAGGGTGAGCCACACGAGGTAAAGGTCCCTGTCATGCTGCTTGGAGCATATAAATGCATGTAATTAACATGAAACACTTAATTAGCAGCCTTTTGTATTCTGAGGTTTAATTTTTCACATTAAACACGCAAATATATCAGTGAAAAATTGCTTCTTAATACTTTATTTTTGCTTCAAGTCCCTGCTGTGTGATGGTCTAAGATCAGTTTACAGGTATCAGTTCTGTTCCCTTCACCTTGTGTAATTTCACTGAAAAATAACAGTTTAGCAGCTTCATGCTCTTTCATCATGTCACTGGTAACAAAATATTTGGGTCACTAAGGAGTGATTGCCATAATTTGAAATTCTACT